CATCACTCCACATAACGCTTTTCCATTGCTCTACTGTCCACTGGCGACGTGCTCTGCAACACTGAAATCGGTGGCGGGCGTTTGATGGAGAGATGTTTGGCTTATGTGCTGCTGCTCGTCCATGGAATCCTTGTGCAATCAGCTCCCGACGAATGGTACGTGTACTGGCAACACTGCCAGATGCAGCCCGGATGCTGGTAGCGACAGTGTCCAACGACATTTGTCGGTTTGCCTTCACTACACGTCGAAGAGATTGTCGATCCCTGTCGGACATTATTTTGGGCTTGCCGGGTCGGGACTGCGGTTTTATCACTCCCTCTCGTTCCCATTTCAACACGACGTTGACCGATGGCACGTATTGTTGACCCAACTGTTGACCGATGTATCTGAAACTTGTCGGAGATGGCACGTATGGAATGACCAAATCGGTGGGAGCTTATGATCATGCTCTTTTCCGCCTCATTCAGCTCTCGCCGTCCATTCATTTTCACTGTTAACGCTCGTATGGCCGTCGCCTGCTTGCGAATGGTCTTTCCCCCACCACAGGTTGCGTATTTATTTCGCCAGGACGTGTCCACCTGCCCTTCAAGGGGTGTCCGGTCATTAATGGCTAGATAGTGTAGTTCTTTTTCTAATCATTTTATTTATCTTAATCGAAGATTTTTAATTGTTAAGTACGAAAGAGTATGATAATATTTTTCCTCTGAAATATTAAAATTTTAGAGAAAAAATTTTGAAGACATCAATTAAATTATTCTTTCCGACAAAATTTAAGATCGATTCATTTTTTTAGTCTACTGTAAAGCGCAAACAGATTCCTTCTTATCATCGAGAAAAGAATAGTTATTTTTAGCGATAATGTAAATGCATCGAGGCAATCTTCACGTTACCTTGAAAATACTTTTAACCATTAACATAAAGATAAAAATTTTAAATTTTGTTGTTTCTATATAATTAATTCAAAAATTAGTGGCTTGTTATAATTTAGGGCATTTCAATATGAATGTTCTTATTTCTCTTTAACTATAGTGAACCTTTTATAACGATTTGTTTAGAATTTCAGATTTATCATAACTTAATGTGTACTTATTAATAATAATTTCTTTTTGAAAAGATTTTTATGAAATGAATATGTACCACTTTGCTGGTGGAAGAAGTAATTTTTAGCAGTAATGCGGAAAAATTGTCGTCTACCATAGCTGAGAAGTATGAAAAGTCTAGTAACTCTAAATTGATTTTTCCACCTTCTTCAATGGGTCAAAACTTGGGAAAATTTAACAAAAAATTCAACGTCAAAGCATTATAAAAAAATTTGATTTGTTTCTCAACGAGACTCTCAGCAAAAAATGCTTCTATTGCAACCTAATAACTTCTGCTCCATCGGCTGTACTTAAATTTTGATTAGTCTGTTTAATCGATGGAAGATATGAATACGGAAAGTTTGATTCATTCGCTTGTAAAAGACCAATTCAAATTTTGGTATCGTTGAGTCATTAGAATTATTAATCTCGAAGGCACGAGGAGTGATGCTTCAGGGATAGAGCTTTCTTTTTCCGATGAGGTCAACCAAGTTCGAATCCTAGCCATGGCTGGTAGATACGAATTCCGCATCCGGCTTGCACCGACCGCAGTGCTGATGTAAAATGTCCTCAGTGATAGACGGATCATGGGTTAGAGTCCCCTTGCCGTCAGGCTACCGGTAGGAGGTTTTCGTGTTTCCTCTCCATGAAATGCGAATGAGGGTTTGTCCCATCAAAAAGTCCTTCACTAAGGCAAACTTCTCTGAATACTTGACCCAGAAGTTCCCTTGTCTTCTGAATTGGGTTCAAAATGACAATGCTACGGGATTGAACATTAGTAATAGTAAACACTCACATCAGGATAAATTCTTCTAGTACATGTTATAATTCATTTGATATCACCTTTATATTTTCTGAAGTAAAATATGGAAAATTACGTTTTCTCATTTTGTGTTTTATAATAATTCTCGCCGGTCGTTATCGCGCAAATTGATATTTACTGTGAAATTTTTCCAATCAGATGAGAAGAAAATCCCCTCAATAAAAAATAAGAAAATATGGAAAACAATGAATATATTTAAATAAGATTTTTTAAAAAATGTTAGTTACAACATGCGAGACAATTAATTTTTAAAGCGAGAAGTTGATGCTGCGTGACGTCACTGATTCAAATCAAAAACTCGGAGCGGCAAGAGTTTCTTCAAAGTAGTGACTTAGCCTTTCTTATTCACTCTTTAGCCCTGGATATTAACAGTATAAAACAATAGTTATGCTACCTGATTATTTAATACTTTATGAAAAATTTATCTATTCACTGTGAAAAGTTTTAGAGAACAAAACACCAAAAATGGTGGAAACTGCTTTACACAGTGGTGTTTCATCAGGTATTCTACAAAACCAAGACAAAGATAATTTCCAGTGTAGAGAAACACTTAGATAAATTGTTGTAAAGTAGCCGCCACCTGTTTGTTATTCAGTTACACTAAAATTGATAGATTACATAGAATTTATAGAATTCAGTGTTTAGTTTTTAGTGTTATTTAAAATCATCAGTAAGACATGATACACTCGAATCAGTAAAGTTACATTTACGATACAAAGTAAGAATCATAAATTTAAGATGCAATATTTAAATTAAGATTCGTAAAATAAGATTAATTTTTAAAAAAAGTTAGTTTGCTAATCAAAAATACACGCGGCACAGAAGTAATATTTATATTAAATCGAACAACATCAAAGTGAATCGAGGTTAAATATTATAAAATTACTTTACGCAAATGAGAGATTTATGTAAATCTTATGAGAACATATATACTTATATTATATAACTAAAAATATGCATGCCTTTTACAAATGTTTACATGAGTAATTTGTATAATCAATGCGACAAGAAGATAGAAATTACTTCGCAAATATTTTGCTTCAACCAATATTCTTCATGAGTGAGTAAAGAGGATTGAAACTTACTTTGCATCAGTTTGTTAATTGAATCCGACAAGAACTCACACTTCCACTGTACTCAGCATGTTAGCAAACTGAAATCTTGACCACCATATTGTCACTATTTTGAAATTAAATTATTCGCCTTTGCATTTCAAATATTGGTCCAAAAGCGTATGCTATACTTTCACACAAAAATTTAGTTAAATAGTTTAAAAATACAATAATTATTCTCCAAATTTACGGAGCTCCGAAAAACATAACCAAACCTTCTTAGCCAACGAGCTGCATATCAGTAAGCAAGCTTTATCAATTATTGGTGTTAAGAATTAACTACATCCTTTAAAGTGTGTGAGATTGGAATTGATTCGGAATTTACTTAAGATAAAGTAAACATTCATACAATCAGCACCAAAATTAAATAAGTTCACACAATTCGTACAGTGAAAAAAACGTAAGAGAAGAAGGTATTCATTTTCTATTTGTTGTGTACAATCATATATAAAACAAAAACAGAAAATGAAATTTCGTTCCTAAAATAAAAAAATAGGTAACATAATAACTTTTGATCCAATGCTTGGATTTCTATGTACTAAGAGAGCAGACAGTGTACAAAAAGTTCTACCCTTTAATATTATCATTACCTTTTTCAAAATTTAGCAAATCTCATGTAAGACTGAATTAGGATCATATAAGAAATGAAAAAACAATTTGCACAATAAAATAATCTTTTAGCCATAAATAATTTGCGGAAAACAACTCCAAAAGTTTCTGAATGATAAAAAGTCAGAATTAATAATTTCTAAGTTAATATACCGAAGAAAGTAGTAAAACGAATAATGACGAATACAGTAAAAAGGAATCTTTCAGTAAACACAGAAGCAATTTAAGTTTTATTCTTCGTTCTTACATGTATTTAACATGCGAACCATTGGTCACAATAGATCAATGCGATTGGAACAATCCAGAAACCTTTGATTCACAAACATAACATTCTATATATTAACATTTTAAATATCGCAGTTCCTTATGACTTTATTCCCTTAATAAAATATTTTGTATGGAATTGATACTAGGCATGCATTATTCATTTCTGACGTAGAGAGAAAATTTCTCGAATTCCATGGTTTATTTTCAACATCTCAGCCTATCTGGATTGTCCTGCTTAATCAGATCTGATGCCTTTTCCCCGATCATTATGATGGGAGCATTTGTGTTGCCACTAACTATTAGTGGCATAATTGATCCATCAGCAACTCGAAGATTTTTTATTCCTTTCACCCTGCGAAAATTATAGCACTTTGAATATATATATATAAAGAAAGTTCGAAATGTAGAGAAAACATGAAAAAAAAATTACAGAACAATGAGAAAAAAGAAAAAAAATAATAATAAAAATAATAAAAAATAATAAATATGCTTTCTAGATTTCGTTTTATGTTTTATTCTGTTTTTTTTCTGTACATTTTATTTTCTGTTCTCACGTGATATTTTTATTTAATGTGTTCTATTTTCCTTGTTGTAAATTTTATAAAATATTTATTGAGTACTCCTCACACAATTGTATTGATATATTTTGCTTTGGCTATATTGATGCAATATTAGAAAGCACTCCCTTTTGCGGATATAATGGTGTGAGCTGATGAAGATTATATATTTTATTTTCCGGATTTTTATTAATTCCCCCCTCCCTTTTTTTCTTCGCATATTTTTTTCTTTAGTTTCTTATTATTATTTAATATTTTTTATTATTTTTGTTATTTTTTATTATTTTTGTTATTTTTTATTATTTTTGTTATTTTTTATTATTTTTATTGTTAATATTTTTATTTTTCTCTTCTTTCTTTGTTTTGTAATTTTTTTCCATGTTTTCTCTACATTTTGAACTTATTTTATGAATTCCACTTACTTGCAGCTTATGCGCAGTAAATAGAACTTGTTAAATTTCTTACTTTTCTACGTTTTTGNCATGAAGAATTAAATTTAGCAAGTTAATTCTTTTAATTAAGAAAATTAATTAAATTATTCAATTAGAACATTATCAGATAATATTTATAAATTCGGATTTATTTGGATTACATATGTTAGTATTCTGAGAAAAAAAGTTTGGTTAAAACCGCCAGAATATTTTAAAATGTACAGTTTTACTGGCTCTATGAGAGCACCAATAAGCTCGGTAATTTATACCGGAATGTTTCGGCAATAATTCTGGTTAAATTAACAGTAAATATAGCTTATAAAATGTGATAAAATTCGGTAATTTTAACCTGATATTTTAGAGCAAGGCATAAAAACCATATATTCGATGAAATTTACTTTTCAGTTTTTTATTTTTTACTAAATGCATAGTAATAAAAACTATAATTTTAAAAACCAGAATTTTCAGTAAACCGTTACCATATGAATGGAAAAATTACCAAATAAATTATTTAAATACCTCATGTTTTAGTTATATTAAAAAGATTTTTTTTTTCAGAAATGTCATTAACGAATAGTACTGTAATTTTAATGGAATTTTCCCCCGTTTTATCACTTTTTTCGAGTCATTGATTCAAAGATATAAATTTTAAATTCCTAACACTTTAATAATAAAATGTGAAGTAAGTATTGAACCTTAAAAGCACGTAGAAAGCTAAGACATTCGGCTTGATGTGTAGAAAACCGAAAAGATAATATCACTAAGCCAAAAGATACAGATGGGTATTTACTACTGATTTACAAATGAGTGCATCTTTTTTATAATTGAGGAAAGACGTCTTCATTTGTGACTCTCCGCTGAAACTCTTCATTTAAAATAGTTTCAACATAGGGCGGGGCAATAGCCGTTGGCCATGGGTTGGAACTGGGTAAGTTTCGTCCCTACCATTAGCTTGCCAAAAACACCAGTAAAACCATCCACACTTGATAGAAGTAAGTGAGCAAGAAACATGTCAACTTTTTCCTCTTTGATTTGTGATAGTAATTAAGTTTTTTTCCATTCACCACTTATTTTAAATTGAACTATAAACAACTATATTTTTCTTTCCTGAATGTCTTAAGTTATTTCTCTAAAAACTTTAACTATTCATTTCTTTGATAAGTAATTGGGGTTTTCGAAATTTTCCCTAGTGCCTTAAGCCACTAATGACTGAATTTTTATTGAAAGCAAAACATAATAAAACTAAGTGTGAGAAATTACATAATATTATCATACCTAAAATGAAGTAAGCGTTACTTGTCAATTTTATTTTAAAAATGTAGGTATGCCAGTTCTTGTCTTGATTTTTTACTCAGAAAAAAAGGAACACCTTGAATACCTTCGGATCTAATGATCTTATCTTCACGTAATAGCACACAATCATAATTGTTTAAAGGGGTGACTTACAATATGCTAATTATTTGATGCTTACGATATTTTAAGTCACGAAATATGACACAAAAACGTATTTTTTCTGAATAAACATACTTCGTTTTCGACGGATTTGAATTTGTTTTTCCAAGGATAATTCCACGTAAGAAAATAATTTTTAAAAATTATTTATTATTTTTAATATTTTGTTTAATATAATCCAATATTTATACAATAATTACAATATACAATCAATATACAATAATTAATATTTCATTTAATATAGTCCAAATTTACGAGCACTCTCTTGACCAAACAGTTGGGAACATATTTCCCAGATTGAAGCAACCCTACCTCTCGCATCTTGAGGATCAGGAATCCAAATCCGTTGAAAAAAGATGTTTATTCAGAGAAAGTACGTTTTTTGCCTAATTTTTAGCTTAAGACATTATCTGCACTAACTAAATAGCACATTTGTGGTCACTCTTTTAAACCATTAATATTGAGTCCTAGTATGTGAAAATTCGATCATTAGATCAAAAGTTATTCAAGGTATTCGTTTTTTGTGCACTGTTCATTAATCTGTCTAGATGAAGAACATATTTTTGATGTTTGTTTGTAGTAATAAATAAAATCCGAGAAATAAACATAAAATTACTTTAACTGTGGATCCACAACCGTCGTTATGTCTGTTGGATTACCCATTTTGCACGTACCCACTGGATGGTCATACGCAAAAGTGTAGTGTAACGCTAAACATCTTAAGTAATCTGTTGAATAGTATGTACTGTTTGCTTCGTACTGTTCACATCCTGGAAATTTGATTTCGAACATTTTGGCACCAATTCTCCTAAAAGTATCCGTTTTAGTAACGATATTCACTGCTTCTTGCATAGCTGAAAAAAATAGGCATGTAAACATACATGAAAATTTATAGATAAATGGTATTTTACAGAAAATTGTACGAAATACTGCCGTCATAGTTTGATCAAAGGGATTATGGATCGCACAAATGTGCTATTTTTTGCTGTGCACATATACCCTTTACTTTTCATTTCTCAAATAAATAAGAAACAAAAAAAAGACCATCAATAATTTATCTTAATTCTTTCGTAAAATGGTATGTTTAGTAAATAGTCAGCTACTTTATATCGAATAATTTTGATCAGCTGAATATTTTTTCAATTTCTTAACAAATTTAATTCTCAGTTAGCTGGAAATAATTTCTTATAATGAAAACTTCGCAATAATTTAAAAAGGTATTTTAACTTGAAGGAAAACCCAAATTAAAGTAATAAAACAATTGATTAGCATATTTTTGAAAAATATAACATTAGTGGTAGAGTGAAGAGTAAGTTATTGAGAAATGTTAAAATTTAATTAAGAAGTTAGTAAAATAATTCTGCGAAGCAAGCTCAGACAGGTAATTAGGAAATTTATTTTAAGATTAAGGGAATATATAAAAGGTTGAGAAATTTTAAGATGCTTAAAAATGTTGTATAGTTATAATTATAAGACTTCACATAATTATAATAATAATATCAATATAATTGTAAAATATATATTGAAGAAAATCATAATTATATTATTTCAAATCTGCGGTTGTATATTTTTTACTACATATTCATACGTTTTCATATTATTGAAATCCTATCAATTATTAAAAGAAAAAACTAAAAAATAAAATTAAAAATAAGCTGATGTGTAATCATATTCTGTCGGAAACATGCTTTTATAAAACTCGACATTCATTGAATAAAATGTTTTTTATTCAATGAAATATATTATTCAAATCTCTTTATAAAATTACTAAGAAATTTTTAGACAACCGAAAAAGACGCATCCTTTTTTATAGTTTTAAAAAAATTATTAACAATCGGTTATTAGCGAAAAATTTATGAATTAAATTTTGCGCTACGTGAGCCTAAGTAAAGTCTCTCGTGAGTTATCTACATTAAAACATTAATCGCCCCATTTGAATATTTTTTCATTGCCGCCAAATTAATTTTTTTAAAAATAGTTTATTTTAATTTTTCTCGGCTTCTACTAAATAAAAACTGCTGAAACTTTGATTTTGCTATAGAAAAATACGTAGATTAATATGAAAGAAAAAAATTTATAACCTATAAATCAAAATTTTTTCCTACACAATTAAATCAAAGAATAAAAACTGATAAATAATGATTAAAAATTATTTTTTGCATGAAATTATCTTTGGTAAACGGATTTTAAGAGTGGGGGCATTTTTTTTCTTCGAATTACTTAATTAGTTTCAAAAGTATGACTCCGAACTTTGGATCGCTCTCCTGTTCAAACTATGGGGAGCATATTTCCTAGATTGCGGTTGTTGATATATATAT